GAGATGTAGAGAGTCCTGAAAATTCTAAAGATAAAAAGAGATTGCTGATGGAGGAAGAGCTAAAGTTTACATAGTGGTGTAATGAGAAAAGCATTTGAGTGTGGACAGCCAAGAGAAACCAATCCCTCTGTGTTTCCTTGAAGACATATTAAAACTGGGATGCTAGATGCAAATTAAATTTGCAACATTGCATAATATGAACATAAGTTATAAGAACATTTTGTATTCAAAGGAAAGATTAGAAGGATAAAAACATGTGTTAGATCCATTTTTCCGTTAAATTATTTCTTTAAACATTCAGTGGAGTAAAAAAAGATACAATGAAGGGCTTCAATGGCCAGAGAGTGCTAGAAAATAGTAACAGGAAGTCTTAAAAGAGAAAACAGACCTTGTATTATTACAGTTGTTTTATGGGAAGTTTGTATAATACTGTCAAAATGGTCAATGGACTCGGGTTTGTTTTTCTTTTTAGGACTGTTAGGATTTAGAATTTAATGACGTTCATTAAAGGAAATGTTAGTTTTTCCATTTAAATGGGGAACCTGATGTGTTTTCGCTGGTCAGATTAACCTTTCCAGGTTCATTTTGGAGGGAGAAACCTGGCTGGATTTAGGCATGTATTTTTCTGTGTGGGGATTATTTGAAGTTAGGATTCAATGCTTAGTTTATGCTCATGCCTTTACAATGATGTTCTCTGTTTGGAAATTGGGAAACCAACAGTTTTTGTTGCAAAGTATAAAAAGTATGATTAAGGGGTGAATAGATTTTTCTTAAGTTTTTTTCTTTTGACTTGATAACTTGGCTTCTGCTAACAAAGATGAAATAGCTTTCTTCAATTTTAAGAGGCTTTGGTAGGAAAGGAAATGTTTTGTCTGTCTGTGTCATAGGAGGCAATAAGGTGATCACATGGCAGACTTGAGTTCTTTTAATTTCCTTTTTTGTAAACAGGCCTAGCATTTTTTCCTCTCAGATATTTTCGGTATCTTTGGGTAAAAGGACATTATACATTTAGCACAAATGCTATTAGTGAATCGTAGGTTACTTATATAGGGTTTAGTTTTAAATTAAAAGACTATTAGTGCCTTTGATGGAATATGTATTTTATAGGGTATAAATGAAATGAAAGACGTTGTTATAATAACTAAAGATAATCCTGTTTGAAAATCCAACTATCGAGGGAAAGAGAAGCTAAAATGAGATTGTTCTCTATTATCTTTTAAAAGAGAGGACTGAGATTTATTTTTGTAATGTTTTTAAGCAAAAGAACCTATTTTTAAGACAGTAGTACTTAGGAATCAGGGTGGAAAATGAAGAAAACTTTCAGACATAAACATTTTTCTTTGTGTTCAGTACAACTGAGAAATGAAGTAGTGGGAGTTAAACATTTTTTTTTCTTTCCTCTGAGGAGAACATTTGCTCTTGCTTTCCAGAATGTGGGAAAGGAAAGGGTAATAGGACAGTGTGATTGTGGGCATGAAAAACATTTCTGTGAGCCAAAAAAGAAGTGTGAAGTTACAGAGAGTGATATTTATTACATTAATTATACAACCCCAGAGAGGTGAGTCCACCTGCCACAGCGATCTCGGGTTTCAGACCACAGGATGCACTTTCAGTTGGCTGTGGCACTCAGGCTTTTTGAAATGTCCCCTATGCATTTTCAGCATTTTGTCAGGTTTCCTTCAGGTGGATTAGGATGCCAACTCATAAACCATAGGCAGTTCACTCTTACCTTTCCAAAATGTCCCACTGATTCACCCTGGCTTCACCCTCTTTCCCTAGGAGAAGAGTACATCTTAGGTGGAATAACGGAATGGGGAACAGGTTATGGCTGGATTTCTAAGAAGAAGCTAGTCCTGTATGGGAACGTGTTCTCAGCTCCATTGGATGGGGGGCGAGGGGGGGGGTTTACAGGCTTGGAAGGTCCTCTTTGGGCCTTTCCTGGCTTTAACTATGCTTTAGTTGGGCAGAAAGGAGAAGATTCAAGTAGTGTTATGGGCAAGAAGAAGATGCTGACTAAATGATCGAATACTGCTGCTGTGTGCATATTTATAAACCAAGGAGGTCCCTCTTGGGTATAACAGGAGAAGAAGGTAATGAGAATCCTGTATTAATCTTCCAGCTGTTCGTAAGAATACCTGCTGGATGCACTGCTCATCTGAACCCTATTTGCTCAACAAGTTTTAGGTCCTGGGCCTGCCACCCCCTGAGTATTTGAATTATCTCTTATCTTCCTTTTTTTCCTGAGCTGACTACCTTTTAGGATGAACAGTGTGAAACTGTATATCTCTTGTTCACTAAAATCCTAAGGAAAGGTCAAATGACGTAAATCCTGCATAGGTAACTGTAAAGAAAGGATAGAGGGACTTAGAACCCAGCTACCACAGTTGATTCCAGTGCTGGGGTCCAAGCTTTGGATAAGTGGTGGCACTAAAAGTCCACCTTTCAGGATTTTTCAACCCTGTGGTGGGGACAGGGGGAGGCTCATGATTCTGTGTCTTGTTTTCTAAAAACAGTGATCTACAAACTTAGATCACCATGGCTGGTAAAGATAGATCACAGAGATGCTTTGCTAATGGCAGCTTTATTGTGAGTATTCAATTTACAACAGCAATATGATGCTTAAGAATGAAAGTGGTGACATTCAGGGATGATTCTTTAGTGGGTGGATTCTTAAGTGGGTAGTATCTGACAGATGGATTTTTCTTTCTTTCTTTCTTTCTTTCTTTCTTTCTTTTTTTTTTAAAGATGACCGGTAAGGGGATCTTAACCCTTGACTTGGTGTTGTCAGCACCACGCTCAGCCAGTGAGCGAACCGGCCATCCCTATATGGGATCCGAACCCGGGGCCTTGGTGTCATCAGCACCGCACTCTCCCGAGTGAGCCACGGGCCGGCCCGACAGATGGATTTTTCATTCCCCACATTTTGCAGTTTAAATGTTCAATTTCATTTTAAAAAGACGATCATAATCATAAACCTTTCCCACTGGGTATGACTTTTCAGATATTTTCACATCAATTTCACTTTAGGAATGTTAATGTTTCTATGTACCTTTTATTTTGGTGGTAGTTTGATGCTGGGGCATGTTATTCCCTGTCTGGTCTCATGGGCACCCCTCTGAGAGAATAGTGGCCACAGAGTGTTTTATCTGGGCTACATAGACCCATCAAGAGAAAAGTACATGCAGTTTCTTAAGCTCTGTGTTAATGGAGACGTATGAATGGAAGGTGAATTATTCTTCATCTCCTGTTGACAGACCGACCTTAAGTATTTATTTCCTCTTCAACAGTACTTTTTCCCAACCAAATTCTTAGGAGTGTTTAGACGTGTCCCCAGAGAGAGTTAATATGCTGAGGGTCTTAGCAGCTGTTGATAGACTGTGGTTTATATGAATTTTCACAGTTATGCGTATTCTTGCCTGAATAGAAATTCTACCTTGACCCTAGTATAGTTAGTTTTATTAGGAATACATGATCTCTTTACAGATTGTATAAGAAAAAAAAATCATTAAATACTCCAGTAAAATGTGGATGACAACTTCTCAGGGACCACTAAAGCACATCTGAAGGAGGAATAACAGTAAATACTGATGTGCAAAGAGACTGGGACGTACCTGCAAATCAGCTAGGTTGATTCTTCCACTGAAAATGGCCTGAAATCAGCTGTACCCCTCTTCCCTTCCAACTTTGTTGCTTGCCTGATTCCTCTTCCTCTTCTCTTCCTTCCTCCTCTCTTTCGCTCCCTTTTCTATTTTTCATTTTCCCTCTCTTCTTCCCCTTTCCTTTCCTTCTTTCCTTCCCTTCCTGGCTGCTTGCTTCCGTTGCAGAAGGAAAGACCAGGTCCAAAGAGACTCCCTCCCTTTTTGAGGATCTCAGAGCTAGTGAGTGACAGCTGGGTCCAGGCCTGTTTTGGTACAAATCTAGTGTTCTGGCCCCTGACTTGTGGCGTGTTAATGATTTGGCATTTATAATCTAAAGGTGAGTGACACGTTGCTTGTCCTAGGCAGATTACAGGCTAGTAGGTAAAAAGAGACACACACACACACACACACACACGCACGCACGCACGCACGCACGGCACGCACGCACGCACGCACGCACGCACGCACGCATGCGCGCGCGCAATAGAATCTGCAGATGGAGTGTGCTGGGGGTTCAGGGAGGGGACAGTCTCCCTGCAGCGGAAGTTTTTCTGATGCCCACAACAATCACTTGTCCTCTGCAGGTGGGGGGAAGGGCCCCTTTTTAAAGACCCCAGCCCTGTATGTTTTTATATATCCTTCATCTTTAGTAAGGGCCGTGACCATTCGTTTTCCTAAAACTCTCCATCTTCCTACTATCTGAGAGTGTTTCTTTTCTAATGTAATGGGGGAATCACAATTAAATAAAAATTGATGGAATCAGCTCCTTAGGGATTTTTTAAAATGAAAAATCCCAGGTGGAACTTACTAACGATGTGTATCCTGTGGTAAGTTTGGATGTTCATTGTTTTCTTCCGTGAATGAATATTGAAATCTGTAATTGATTTTTTAATTGGAGTCTATTTCTTTTAATGTGGTATCCCCAATCTGATGGTGATTATAATAGAGATAATTTTGCCAGTGGGATTAAATGCTATCAAGACAAAATATGGTTGGAAGAAGATTTTTATGAAAACAGTGTGATAAATCCAGTGATAAATGACAAATTTTGTAGTTGCTATACCAAAACCTGCTTTTCTGTTTTATGTCATTTCCATCAATTTTATTCTTGTTAGGAGCCAGGCTGGTGATACTGTACAGCGTTTTGGAGGGATTACTTTCAAAGCTAAGACTATACAGGTTTTATATATATTCTCTGGATATTTGTTCATGTTGACTCAGATATCTGTAGTTATAATAAGTGCAGTCACCAGCTTAACCTTTATTGGTAATTATTGTGTTTGTGTAAATCCTGCAGGAGATTTATCTCATCATTACAACATGCTAATTACTGATGGAATTATTTTCTGTTCATTTTAACAGAACATCTGATCAAATTCATGACCATGGGGGATATGAAGACCCCAGACTTTGATGACCTCCTGGCAGCATTTGACATCCCAGATATGGTCGATCCTAAAGCAGCTATTGAGTCTGGACACGATGACCATGAAAGCCACATCAAGCAGAATGCTCACGTGGATGACGACTCCCACACACCATCATCTTCAGATGTTGGCGTCAGCGTCATTGTCAAGAATGTGCGGAACATCGATTCCTCTGAGGGCGTGGAGAAGGATGGCCACAACCCCACAGGCAATGGCTTACATAATGGGTTTCTCACGGCGTCCTCCCTTGACAGTTACAGTAAAGACGGAACGAAATCCTTGAAGGGAGATGTGCCTACCTCAGAGGTGACTCTGAAAGACTCAGCATTCAGCCAGTTCAGCCCTATCTCCAGTGCTGAAGAGTTTGATGACGATGAGAAAATAGAGGTGGATGACCCCCCTGATAAGGAGGACATGCGCTCAAGTTTCAAATCCAATGTGTTGACGGGGTCGGTTCCCCAACCAGACTATGATAAACTAAAGGCACTTGGAGGGGAAAATTCAAGCAAAACTGGACTCTCTACGTCTGGCAATATAGAGAAAAACAAAGTTAAGAGAGAAACAGAAACAAATTCTATAAATCTGAATGTTTATGAACCTTTTAAAGTCAGAAAAGTGGAAGATAAATTGAAGGATAACTCTGAAAAGGTGCTGGAAAACAGGGTCCTCGATGGGAAGCTGAGCTCCGAGAAGAATGACGCCAGCCTGGCTGGCGTTGCATCATCCAAGACAAAATCGTCCTCCAAGCTCTCATCCTGCATAGCTGCCATTGCGGCGCTGAGTGCTAAAAAGGCGGCATCAGACTCCTGCAAAGAACCTGTGGCCAATTCAAGGGAGTCCTCACCATTACCAAAAGAGGTCAATGACAGTCCGAGAACGGCTGACAAGTCTCCTGAGTCCCAGAGTCTTATTGATGGGACCAAAAAATCATCCGTAAAGCAACCGGATAGTCCCAGGAGTGTTTCAAGTGAGAACAGCAGCAAGGGATCCCCATCCTCTCCTGCAGGGTCTACACCAGCAATTCCCAAAGTCCGCATAAAAACCATTAAGACGTCTTCTGGGGAAATCAAGAGAACCGTGACCAGGGTGTTGCCAGAGGTGGATCTTGACTCTGGGAAGAAGCCTTCTGAGCAGACGGCATCCATGGTGGCCTCTGTGACGTCTCTTCTGTCCTCTCCGTCGGCCGCGGTCCTTTCTTCTCCCCCCAGGGTGCCTCTGCAGTCGGCTGTCGTTACCAATGCGGTTTCCCCTGCAGAGCTGACCCCCAAACAGGTCACTATCAAGCCTGTGGCCACTGCTTTCCTCCCAGTGTCTGCTGTAAAGACAGCAGGATCCCAGGTCATTAATTTGAAGCTCGCTAACAACACGACTGTGAAAGCCACGGTCATATCCGCTGCCTCTGTTCAGAGCGCCAGCAGCGCCATCATTAAAGCCGCCAATGCCATCCAGCAGCAAACTGTCGTGGTGCCTGCATCCAGCCTGGCCAATGCCAAACTCGTGCCAAAGACTGTGCACCTTGCCAACCTTAACCTTCTGCCTCAGGGTGCCCAGGCCACCTCTGAACTCCGCCAAGTGCTAACCAAACCTCAACAACAAATAAAGCAGGCAATAATCAATGCAGCGGCCTCACAACCACCCAAAAAGGTGTCTCGGGTCCAGGTGGTGTCGTCCTTGCAGAGTTCTGTGGTGGAAGCTTTCAACAAGGTGCTGAGCAGTGTCAATCCAGTCCCGGTTTACATCCCAAACCTCAGTCCTCCCGCCAATGCAGGGATCACGTTACCGTCGCGCGGGTACAAGTGCTTGGAATGTGGGGACTCCTTTGCGCTGGAAAAGAGCCTGACCCAGCACTATGACAGGCGTAGTGTGCGCATCGAAGTAACGTGCAACCATTGTACAAAGAACCTCGTTTTCTACAACAAGTGCAGCCTCCTTTCCCATGCACGGGGGCATAAGGAGAAAGGGGTGGTGATGCAGTGCTCCCACTTAATTTTAAAGCCAGTCCCAGCAGATCAGATGATAGTCTCTCCGTCAAGCAATACTTCTGCTCCATCTTCCACTCTTCAGAGCTCGGTGGGCGCCAGCACACACACTGTAACGAAAATCCAGTCTGGCATAACTGGGACAGTCATATCAGCTCCTTCAAGCACACCCATCACCCCAGCCATGCCCCTCGATGAAGACCCCTCCAAACTCTGTAGACATAGTCTCAAATGTTTGGAGTGTAACGAAGTCTTCCAGGACGAGACGTCGCTAGCTACACATTTCCAGCAGGCCGCAGATACGAGTGGACAAGTAGAGTATCATTTAAATTTCAGTGTTTCAGTGATGAGTCTGTAGACACGAGTGCTCGATAAGGTGCCTTTGATTTTAGGGTTGGGAGCTCAGTTACATGGAGGGGAGTGTGTGTGTGTTTGTGTATGTGTAAGCATGTACACAAGAGAAAAAGGGTTGTTTTCATAGAATAGAAATAATGGTTAAACTTGAATCTTTGAAAAAAAACAGGTTTTTGGGAAGATGCTTCTTTTAGCCAGATGTAAACTGCATGTATTATTTGAGTCATGGTACTTAGATTGAGGTAATTGTTCAGTCATTGGAATATATGTCAGAAGTCTGAGATTTAGCTAATTCTGGTGTCATCTAGTATTAAGTATTGAAGTTGGACTATATCACCACAGTCCTTGGATTATTAGTCACAATTTTGAGATTTAAAAAATTACTGTGTTAATTATAATACTAAAATGTCTTTATTGTTAAACACACCTAATTGGTACCTGCTTTTATGGTGTGTCTACTTAGTTAAGATGATGGTCCAGAAGTGTACTTGGTGATATTCTCCACTGTAGTGAATTTAAGCCACAAATGGCAAATCCATCTCCACCTGAACAGAGTACCTTTGTGTGCGTCTGCAGCTTTTGTTTTTGTAGGGAAGTGCAGGCTGATGTCGGTGAACTATATTTCACAATGGGCATCAGCCTTTTCTGTCTATCATTTACTTGTCTATGAGGCAACTTTTGACTAATAGATAAATGTGTTTAACAAATGTATGATACCGGTTATTTGGAAGTAACTGGCCATGTTGAGTGAAATAAATTCGAGCTAGTGAGACCGCATGATATACCTTTATTGTCCAAACCAGAAAACTTGTGAAATTCAATGGAGGTGGTAGTATGAGCTGATACACCCTGGCTCTCAAACTGCTCTGTACGAAGACATGAAAGCAAATTGGTCTTTCCTTTTGTTTCCCCTCCACTGTTGTGTTAATTAAGAGGTTTATGCTGTGGTTCAGAAGTCTGGGACTGTTTTGGTGATGAGTTCCTCATGGGCAAATACTGAGTTAAGTTCTATGTAGGATTTTGAGTTTGGGGAAGAAAAGATCAAGAGTACATCAATAGTTTTTTCCTTTGAGTTTTTAGTTTAGTGGAAATGGAAGCAATAAAGAGTTTTGACAACATTCCTGCAGGTTTGGATGTTACATGTTTCACTGGCCCTGACAGCATAACTTTCAAAGAAGAGAAAAGCAGGTGCATAGTTCAAGAAGGCGGGGATTGCTGGAGCTCTTCCAAGTGTGTCCTAGTGATGATGCTTGGATTCTGTCTATCTGGGTGCTCTCTGACCTGGTTACCACTTCATCAGAAGGGTGATTTGAGGGTGCCTCAAAAAGTTCACAGATTCATATTATCTTTTAATTCTGTTTTTCCACAAACTTTTTGAAGTACTCTCATATTTCTTTTCGTCTTAAAAGGATTCAGTGAAAGGGGGGAAAAAGCAAAAAGCCATTTCTTCAGTTCTGATGGTCCCGTTGTCTTGTTTCTGTGTTTGCTGGTAGGCTGTGTGGGGTTGGACGGTGTCCTGCTGCAGGAGGGCTCTCATGCCACCCTGGTCGTGGGCTCTTGCTGCTGGCTATGTGCTCTGGAGCTTGCATTTTGAGCCGTCCTCAGATGCGTTTGTCCGCTTTGGGATCCCTCCTTCTCTTGGAATGAGAAAGGAATGGGCAGAGGTCATAATTTCCCTTCTTCCTTGTTTTCCCCCAATTTTTGTTCTTTGTTAACCCTTTAGGCTCAACAACCACACTAGGGTCAAACAGGGATGAAACTCTTTCTTTGGGGGAAGGAAATTAGTATCTCTTTGTGTGTGTGTGATTGCTCTGCCATCACTTGGGTGTTTTGCTGGGACCAATAAAATGCGCAGGTCATATTTCACATGGAATCCTAAGGAATGAGTCACAGCAGAATATACATTAACTCTAAAGCCAGATATACGCTAAGCAAAACATTTACCCCTGTTTTATTTTCTGTCTCCAATTATGCCCAGCCATCATTACTCGGCTCATCAGAGCACAGTCTTTATAGTTAGTGAACCCCAACTGACTGCGTAGCCAGGTGCTATAGAGCTAGCAACACACAGGTGCCCCACATGACATTCTCCTCCTGTTACCCATTTCCCCTTCTCTCATTGAAATCATAGTCCAGCATACCCTCCACAGTTTCCCATTCTCCTCAGACTCAGCCACATGGTTTCCACTCAGACCCAGGTGGGGAATCTGGTTTCCCCTGCGCCAGCTCTCTGTGAAATGAGAGCATTCACGGTTTAACCCAACCTCGAGTGTCCTCCACAGTTCCAGGATGTGGCAGGTTACATGTGGCTGTTGCCGTCCTAGCCTCTGAGTGTACTGGAAGCTGGGGTGGTCCTCTCCCATTGCTGTCACCTGGTGTGGCATCAAGTAACTGTGGTGGTGGGAGGCAGGGGCTGCAGTGAGACAAAAAACAGAAGGGAGAAGAGGAAATATTCTTCATTTCATCTTTCCAGTTTGCCAATCACATGACTGTTGGCCAGTTTATTTCTGAACTTAAACTCAATTGGGAAAAAGTCCACCCAAAGAAATTATTTCCTCTATGAGAATAGCACTTAAGACACTTGTGTCTTTTTACAAAATTTAGAAGTTGAACCAGTGGCACCTCAAATACCAAAGACTTTGCCAAGCCCCTTCTTTTCTGTGCTGTCTCCTGCATTCCACATATGTAGGACTTTTATTTTTTATTTCCCCATTGACCTCCATATTCTTGGTAACTCAGTGGTGAGTGAGAAACATAGACTATCTGACATTTGTAACAACTTACTATGGCCTCACAACCTGGCCTGTCCTTTCTGGAGTAGGAGCCCAGTGCCGTTTAAACCCTGTGTCTGCAGCTTTTGGCTTTCCCGAGCTCTGCCCCTGGGCAGGGTTCCCTAGGTCTACACATTACACTTAGTTAGGGAATCATCTGCAATAGATTCCTGGACTGACCCTGCTGCCATTGATATCAGTTCTGAAGATTTAAAGGGTGTGGCCTCAGGTGCCCCAGCTAGACCAGCAGGTTTCCTGCTGTTTACCCATTCCCTTTCAGGTTTGAGTTTATGGGCCTGGAAAAAGGGATAGTAAATGGCATCAGTGATCTTCCCTTCTTCCTTTTTTTTTTTTCTTTTGGTATAATTGTAGATTCGTGGAAGAAATAATACAGAGTGATACTGTGTATCCTTCATCCAGTTTCCCCCAATGGTAACATCTTGCAAAACTAGAATAATATTACAACCCGGATATTGACATTGACATAGTCAAGATACAGAACTTTTCCATCACTACAGGATCTCTCATATTGCGTGTTTCTAGCCCGCCCCTCCCAATCCCTGGCAACCGCTAATCAGTTTTCCTACTCTATATTTTGTCATTTGGGGAATGTTATGTAAATGGAATCATACAGTATATAACCCTTTGGGATTGGCTTTTTTCACTCAGCATAATTCCCTGGAGATATATCCAGGTTGTGTGTTTCCATAGTTTATTCCTTTTTATTGCTGAGTAGTATTTTATTGTATGGTTGTACCACAGTTTCTTTTACTAATCACTTGTTCAAGGACATCTGTATCATTTCCAGTTTGGGGTTATATGAACAAAACTACTATGAACATTGTGTACACGTTTTTGTGTGAACATAAGTTTTTATTTCTCTGGGGAAAATGCCCAGGAGTATAATTGCTGAGTTATATGGTAGTTGCATATTTAGGTTCTTAAACTTTTCCAGACTAGATATACCATTTTATATTCCCACGTGTATGAGGGATCTACTTTCTCTGAATCCTTGCCAGCATTCAGTGGTGTTACCAGTTTTGATTTTATTTTAGCTATTCTGATAGGTGTACAGTGTTACTTCATTGTGGTTTTGTGTTTCCCTAATGGCGAATGATGTTGAACATCTTTTCATGGGTTTATTTACCATCTGTATACCTTTTTAGTAAAATGTCTCATCATTTTCTAATTAGATTTTTTTTTAAACTATCGAGTTTTACAGGTTCTTGATAGAGTCTCTATCTTCTTGATAGAGACAGTCCTTTGTTAGCTATATGGCTGCTGGTCTTTTCTCCCATTCTGTAGCTTGTCTTTTCATCCTCTTCACAGGTTTTTGGTAAAAGTTTTTAATTTTGATGATGTCTAATTTATCATTTTTCCCTTTTATGGCTTGTGCTTTTGGTATCAAGTGTAAGAACTCTTTATCTAGCCCTAGATCTGAAGATTTTCTGTTTTTTTCCTGAAAGTTTTGTAATTTTATGTTTTACATTTAAGTCTGTGATCCATTTCGAGTTCATTTTTGTATAAGGTGTGAGACTTGGGTTGAGGTTCATTTTTTTCCCCCATGCATGTCCACTTTCTCTTAACACCGTTTGTTGAAAAGGCTGTCTCTCCTCCAGTGAATTGCTTTTGCACCTATGTCAAATGTCAGTTGGGCATATTTATGTGGGGCTATTTCTGGGCTCTTTATTCCATTTATCTGTCTGTTTACCAATATCACACAGTCTTGAGTCCTGTAACTATAATGCCTTCAATCTGGTAGCCAGATTCCTCCAACTTTATTCTTGTTTCCCAAAATTGTTTTAGCTATTCTAGTTCTTTTGCCTTTCCATACAAATTTTAGAATAATCTTGTGCATATCTACAAAAAAATATTGCTAGGAATTGTGTTAAACTTATGTATCATTTTGGGAGAGAATTGACATCTTTACTGTGTTGAGTCTTTCAGTCCATGAACACAGACTTTATTTATTTAGATCATCTTTTATTTCTTTGATCATTTTGTAGTTTTCATCATATGATTCATGCACATGTTTTGTTAGATTTCTTTTTTTTAAGCAGTTGTAAATGGTATTATATTTTTTGGTGTACATATATTCATTGCTAATATATAGAAATGTATTTTTTTGTATATTTATTGTGTATTTGTGACTCCATTGAACTTATTTATTGGTTTCAGAATTTTTTGG